CACACACACACACACACACACACACACTATGAGAAAGAGAGAGAGAGAGATCTCAAGATTATGATAAAAAGCATCAATGTCTCTATGACATATCAGTTCCCAGGTATGTAGGACAATAAAATCCTCTTTTTCACTTGTTAGTTTGAATTTCTATGACTTGCAGTCAAAGGAATCTTGAGAAGTATACGTACATGCAAGTACTAAAACATACTAAAATTCTAATTCTACCTCTCCTGGAAAACTCTAAGAGCAGGGGATTCGAGTGCTCATAAGATCAGATCCAAGCTTCTGAGACACTTCTCCCCTGTTGCTTTAAGACAAGGGTCCCTAACCTGATGCCTCGTCCCTCTAACCATTTTATGAAGGAGTGTGACAGATACATGAACATCCCATCAAACTTTGGGTAAAATGATATGTGTTCCCAAACATATGTGCTTTTCTGGGGGAAGTGTCCACTGATTTCATCACATTAGTAAAGGGACTGGTAAACCAAAGACATTAAAATCACTGATAGATGATCCAAAGCAAAAGTGCAGTGTTAAAGTCTGAATTTCCATGTCTCTAAGTGTATCAGATAGCTAGACCTTTCCATTCGAGATTTTGAAACAATGGAGAAGCCACGTCACCATCTTATTAACATCATGAAAGACTTGTTTAAAGATAAACCCACTAAATGCTTGAAATACATCTTCTAAAAAATTCATTTCATTTAAAGAAAAACCACTTCATTTCATTGGAGGCCATCTGTGGTTGCCACCATCTGAAGGATGGGAGAAGCATATAGATTTAACAAATGACTAGAAATCTGCTTCCTAGAGAAGTTCAAATATTCCCCCAGTGTCATGTAAACAAATAAAAGACTGTAGTTTGCTTGTTGTATTTGCATAAAATAATAATCCTTGGCAGTATCAATACATTTCACATGCCACTGATTAAATCTTGAATATTCATGCATGCATTAGAAAGCCTTCTGTTGCTATGGTGGAACCTAATATTATGAAATGTGTTCCAGCTTTCCTTTAGGGAGAAGAATATTATAACTGAAAATTAAATCAAAGCTGTTGCTTATCAATAAGAACAATCAAGAAGAGAAAGATGGGAGATTGCCTTGGAAATAGTAGGAGAGGCCCAATGAAATACTAATGTTCTGTGGGCCTGGGGCCCAGAGACACTAATATTCAAGCAATAATGAGTGTCTTTAGACCTCAAGCATCCACTGTATGCATCAGCATCATTCTCTGTTTGAGTAATGAGACAACAGAATTCCAGAATGACAGGGACAGAGTTGAGGGAAATGGAGCAGGATTGCCCATAGAGGAGCCCAGCATAATAATGAACAGCCAGCTGGATACTTTGGCTTTTGATAGCAGGCAAGTTCTGCCCTAGGTAGGTAAAATGTGAAAAATAACTTTGCTTTGATTGCATGATTGGTTAGGAGTAAAGCCTGTACGAGCCCTTTGAAGTAAAATCACAGCAATTAAGAATGTCTGCAGACTCAAGTTTCTCACCCTTGGCACTATTGACATTTTGGGGTTGGATAATCCTTTGTTGTCCAGGCTGCAAATTCTTGGGCCCTACCCCAGACCTACTGAACTATGAAATGGGAATAGGATCATTCCTCCATGTGATTCTGAGGTTAGCTAAAGTTTAAGAAGCAGTAATCTAGGGGCTCCTGCGTGGCTCAGTTGAGTATCCATCTCTTAATCTCAGCTCAGGTCTTGATCTCAGGGTCTTGAGTTCAAGCCCCACTTTGGGCTCCATGCTGGGAGTGAAGTCTACTTTAAAAAAAAAAAAAAAGCAATAATCTAACTCAACACTCTAATTTTACAACTGAAGAAACAGAGGTTGGTTAAGTGCTTACTCAATCTGGTTAGCAACCAAAGCCATGCATCATATCTCCATATCTACGGAGTTTGCTAAATAACGCCTTGCAGGAAGAGGTTGATATCCTGCAAGCATATTTCATCCCAACACCATGACACGTGAGCATTTTGCTGCACAGCAAACGTTCCTGGACTGGCTGAGTATTTCTCAAATTTGGTCTCTCTCTTGGGGCGCCTGGATGGCTTAGTCGGTTAAGCGTCCGACTTTCGCTTAGGTCATGATCTCGTGGTTCGTGGGTTCGAGCCCTGCGTCGGGCTCTGTGCTGACTGCCAGCTCAGAGCCTGGAGCCTATTTCAGAGTATGTGTCTCCCTCTCTCTCTAACCCTCCCCTGTTCACGCTGTCTCTCTTTCTCTCCTAGAAATAAATTTTTTTAAAAAGTTTGGTCTCTCTCCTAGATTCCCAGGTTTTCTAAATTTTCATGCAGAATTCTTTCCTTTCGTTGACATGATTTTTCTAAAGATTACTAATTTTTACCTATTTTGTTTAGTCATTTTGCTTACTTCCTTTTTCTTTTCTAACTACCTTCATTCCTAAGGTAGTCAGCCTTAAAGCCTTAATGTATAGCCTTCCAAATCTTTTTTCATTGTACAATCACACACAAACTTATATTCACGTATATATACACATATACATATAATTAGTATTATACCTAGCACATAAAACCACATATTTAGAACTGAACCTGAAGCATTATAGATGCTCAATATTTTTTGAATGGTTTTCTTTATAAAAATGGGATAATTATATAAAAATAATATATAAGTAAATATATAATAATTTTATATACATTACATATCTATTGTATCTGGCTTTTATCCCTCAGTGTCTCTAGGTAATCTCTTCATTAGATTTAATTAAATCTTATGAATGGATGCATAATATCTTACCTCTATCAAACTGACATCAATTTATTTAACTATATCCCTACTTGATTGTCAAGATGCTTTTACTTTTTTGTCACTATAAATCAATAACAGCTAATACTTACTATGTGCCGCATGCAAAGCAATCTTAGCCTTTTACATTTATAAAGTCACTGAGTTAAGGTTATTTTTCTTGTAATAGAAAACTGAATAGAGGTGGATAAGAAGCTTAACCAAGGCTATATAGCCAGTGGGCTACAGATTCTTCTGTGTGGCCCCATAGTCCCTCTCACTGCATTACTTCTATACAAGTCCGTAATCAACACAGTTACACATACATCCTAATGGGATGGTGCTTTACTTCTAGTTGACAGTGTCCCAGGATTGGAATTACTGTGGAAGAATATGTGTATATTTTATATCGATAGATTGCTTTGCAACAAAGCAGTGACAGTTTGCATTTTCACCAGCAGTGTAGAAGAATACTCTTTCCTCAAGCAGATTATTATTTTTAAAAATATATACTTATTGTTTATTTTATTATATATTTATTATTTATTATAATATATTTACTATTTCTTTTTTGTCAATCTCGTGGGTGAGAAGTGACATTTCATTGTTTGGTTTATATGCTTTTCCAACGGTAGTGAAGTTGAGCAGCAACTCCTTATCAGCTATTTGGATTGACTCTACTACAAGTCCAGAAGCTACAGGGTGGCCCAGCAGGCTGGAGATCCAGAGAGTTAATGACATTCAAATTCAAAAGCTATGAGGCTGAAAACCCAGTTTTCCTTCCAACACATTTTTAACAGCTAATCCTTGTAATAACGTTTCTGGAGATGCTAATGGTCAGACTGCCTGGACTTAATTTCTAACTCGCCACTTATTTAGTGACTGAGTTCCTTAAAATAACAGTAATAAAAGTTTGCTCCATAGGGTTCCTGGGAACACTGAAGGAATTGCTTCTTACTTTATAACTTTTGCCTATTGTTATTTGTTCTATTATTGGGATCTGTCACTGCTTTTTAAAAAAAATATTTTAAGTAATCCCTACACCAATCAGGGGCTTGAACTCACACCACCAAGATCAAGAGTCCCACAGTTTACTGACTGAGCCAGCAAGGTGCCCCAGGATTTCTCATTGCTTTTTGAGTAAACTGTAAGGATATAGGGATGAAACCCTAGCCTGCCACTAAAAAGACACACGGAAAAAATTCTTAACAAAACCACGTGTCTTGGGACTGTCTGTCCCTTATTAACACTCACAACAATATAGACTTTTATGGAAGATACATAGGATGAATTTCAAATTAACATTCCATATCACTAATGCAAGAAATTCAACCTATCAAAGTCTTTCCCTATTTGTCCTAGGGAAAATTTTAGAAATGAGAAGCAATAAGATTAGTCATCAAAATAAGTTTCATCTTTAGCATGTCTAAGAATTTTTAGAAGTGTAAAAATTTATAGAAGATTTTACAACCTATTTTACAAAAGAAGTATCAATCTGAGAGTTTCGTTTATTTAAATGTTGTTTTAAGAATTAGAAATGCAGGGGAGCCTGGGTGGATCAGTCGTTAAGCATCTGACTTTGGCTCAAGTCATGATCTCAGGTTTGTGGGTTCGAGCCCTGCCTAGGGTTCTGTGCTGACAACTCAGAGCCTGGAGCCTGCTTCAGATTCTGTTTCTCTCTCTCTCTCTCTCTCTCTCTCTCTCTCTCTGCCCCTTCCCCTACTCATGCTCTGTCTCTCTCTCTCTCTTAAAAATGAGTAAACATTAAAAACAAACAAACGAAAAAAAGAAATGCAAACAAAGTGCCTGACCCAAAGTAGTCTCACAATAAATGGTAGCTATTACTGCCACTCCCAGCTGTCAAGGAGCATGTATTTTCCTATTAGGACCTCCTCACGACGCCTACCAGTGTTTGAGATCATGTAGATAATTATCGGATGAGTGAGTGAGTGACATCAGTGATAGACCGGTTGCACTCTGTGGCCAAATCCTAGAGTCCGGTATCCTAAATTAGACAGCGGGGTCAGAGAGAACATTCTAGGTAAGAAGGCCTCCAACTTGCCCATAGTGCTGAACTACAATTCCCAGCATGCAGCCAAACGCCGTGGTTGCAGTGCATTCCGGGAAAGATATCTCCGGCTTCCTATTGGCCACGCCGGAGAAGCGCTGGTAGTTTGCCCAAATACGCGTGCGCTAGCGTACGTACGCATGGAGATTGCGCAGATCTTCCTCGTCTGAGTTCTGCGGAACTAATTTTGAGTACAGAGATTTTTAGGACTAAAATCCGGTAGGATTTAAGAACGGTTCCACTTCCGGTAACACCGGAAGCAATTTGAAGATGGCGTCCTCCTCCTTAAGTGGGCCAGCCGACGTGGACGGGAAAAGTGAATTTCGTAACAAGAAGCCAAAGCCGGAGAACCGAGGTGAGGTCGAGTGAGAACCGAGGCCTGATATTTGTATATTGAGTTGCGGTTGTTTTCTTTGGCTGGCTGGGGACGTGCAACGCTACCTTGAGTGTGCTCCATGAAGTTTAGGATCTCTCATTGCTGACGATTGGGGATGTTGGCCAGACCGATTGGCGGGTACAGTGCCAGGCACGTGTTACTAACCGCTTTTGCTAGAGGCCTTTCAAAATGAATATGTTACAGTGTGTGTCTTCTTTAAAATCAGGAGGATTAAGAAATTGTGGAGGGCGCTGCGGGACCTTACACATGGTGTAAGGCGGTGGCTGCAAGTCGTTGACAAAATGAGGGGTTGAATGAAGTAGGAACTGGAGGTCCTTATGCATGTGAACGTACGCTGATAAATGAAGCGTCTGATATAGAAGTGGCTGATAATGAAGTCGCAAAAACTTTAAACGCTCATTCTATTTCTCTTTCTCGAGAAAGCACCATTACGCAGAAGCAGTACCATAATCCAAAACCCCTTAGCAACACATCTCGGATGATAGTATTTGCTTTTACAGGACATGAAGTAACCATTCTGAATCATGTTAGCTTTTTCTATTCTCTTCATAATCTTTACTACTGTGCACAAAATGGTTTGATTTTGTCAGTTTTTTAATGCAAGAGGGCTGTGGATATTGTGCTGTCTTCCTAGGCTTAACTTTGTTTTTCTTATTCAGACCAGAAGATACTTGTAGCTGTAGTTTATTCTTTTCATTTGATACTGATGGTATTTCCTTCTATGAACATACAGATATTTGTATTTTCATTCTACTGTTGGTGGACATTTGGATTTTTCCCATTGTTTGCTATCATAAACAGTGCTTTTATAACAGCTTTTTATGTATCACCTAATTTGCAAGTTGAAGAGTTTTTCCAGATTATGTACATGGCATTGGAATCCATGAAAGTTAGGGTATGTGCAGGAAATACTAAATCTTTCCCAAAGGAGTTGTGCCAGTTTACACTTGCACTAGCAGTGGATGAGAGTTCTCATTGCTCTGCATCCCACTCTAATACTTGATGTTATTTGAATTTCAAATTTCTGTCACTTTTGGTAAGTATGAAATGGTGTCTGCTGGGGTTTTAATTTGAACTTTCCTTATTACTAATGCAGTTACACATCTTTTCACGTTTTGGGGCTATTTACACCCCCTCTATTGTGAGACTCCTGTGTATTTCTTTTGCCTGTTCTTTTGTTTTGTTTAATTTGTAGTTGTTGAAGTGTTTAAATTGGGTAGGAACTTGGTAAGGTATACATTTTAAGTAAACACAGTTGTAGGATTTGAGGGGTTTTGGGGTTTTTTTTTAGGATATTAGGAAGTAAATGATACATGAAGACAAATTCTCTGTGATTTGAACCAGAAATAGCAAAGTAGAAATGAGTATTAGAAACAGAAAGCAAGTTTACTTGTGGTGGAGAAAATGAACTATACAGGCCACCTTCTCAGACTTGGTGTGCATAAGAATCTCCTAGTGAGATTATTAAGACAGATTCATTCTTGGGCCTCATCCCAGAGATTCAGAATTGTTAGGTCTGAGTTGGAGTTTATTTATTTATTTTGAGATAGAACCAGGAGGGGAGGGCAGAGGATCTGAAGCTGGCTCCACGCTGACAGTAGAGAGCCCGATGAGAGGCTCTAACACTGGAACCGTGAGACCGTGGTGTGAGTTGGAGGCTTAACCAACTGAGCAACCCAGGGACCCCCAGAATTGCATTTTTAACAAACTCCTAGTTTATGCTGACGCTTGCAGGCCTGTGGTTCATAACTTCGAGTAGTACTAAATTAAAGCATAGCTGTTAGATTTAAGAGATTCCTAAAATCCAGGTCCAGGAGTTTTAATAAATGATATGGGAGATCATTTATGGCCTTTAGGAGGCATTTTGTTTTATTGAAAGGAGACCTAAGCTGAATCACCTTTGTGTCCCCTTAAGCAACTTACTGATCCTTTTTGGACTGAATGTCTTTTATAAAATAACAGTTGTCATGAAAGACATACAGAAGTAAGACATATGAAATCCTTTTGGGAAGCCTAAATAACTCAATACCAGTGATTAGTACCTGAAAGTGTACACTGGAATATCAGCTTTTAAGTTTTGTGCGCACACACACACACATATTTGCATATATACACACATATGCAGGCTCCAGTTCAGGAAAGTCTGAAAGATTATCTATATTGAAAATAGTCACGTAAACAAAGTGGTATTACTCTTCAACTCTAAGATAGTGTAGTGCAGTAGAAGTTTCTTGAGGACCCCACTGTCTGTCAGGCATATGCTAATTACCATGGATCCAAAGAGGGTCCCTGCTCTTAAGGACCTTTGTCGTATGACGCTGAAGTGTTTACACATAGTTTTAATACAGTGTGTTGATAATAACGACAGAGGCATGTTCTTTTTTCAGTAATCTGAAAAGCATGGCGACAGGAACGGCAAGGAGAGTATTGGGAAGCATGTAAATGTGTGCATGTAAGTTTTCAAACAGTGTCCACAAAAGGGTAAAATCTTACATGTAAGTTTCTTCCCCTCTTTAGATGAATCAGAACTCCTTACTGTTCCTGATGGTTGGAAAGAACCAGCTTTTTCCAAAGAGGACAATCCCAGAGGACTCTTGGAGGAGAGCAGTTTTGCAACTTTGTTCCCAAAGTATAGAGAGGCTTACTTGAAAGAGTGCTGGCCGTTGGTACGGAAAGCCTTGAATGAACATGTATGCACATTTTATATATTTCTTTTGAGATTTTGCTCTTATACCTTTACTGTCAAATAAGTATGTGTGCTGATGGATTTTTTTAAATAAAGTACTAGCATAACTGGTTAATTTGGTTCCTTTGGTATTTAAAACAGCCTAGATAGAAGCTTTATTCTTACAAACCATTTGTTTTTAATTTTGTAATAGATTACTTTGAAATAATCACATTACCTTTAAAATTTTAGGGATCTCATGGACTGTCTGAATGTCACCTGTGAACTCCAAGTTTTGAATGCCTGTTCTATACTGTGATTAGTTGCCATGTTTCTGTGTAGTTAGAGTTGAGGCATGTTCCCGGATGATTGCTTAATTTTCATTTTAAATGAAAGATGAGGATGTGGCCAGCTTTCCCCTATTTGTTGTTGCTGCCATTCACCTAGAGCAGTGTATTTGTTTTTGTTTTTCAAACTGGATCGAAATCTGTTAGTGGAGCAAGAAGTCCATTTAGTGGACATAAGGAGCCTTTAAAAAAAATAGAATGTATCACACGTGGTAAGGGTAAGTATCATTCTGTAAAGCTTTTTGGCTCACTTCTGTGTGTGTGTGTGTGTAGTGGGCACACCAGGTTGTGATACAGGATGTCATTCTCAACAACGTGACTGCCCTGGTGTTGTTTGTCCTCATTAAGTATTAGGGTGCTTCAGCACACTGCAAGCTGTTTTACAGTGGTCTGCATCTGAGACTGGACTCTCGAAACTCAGAGGCCTAAACTTATGTTGAATTGTTCATCACTCGCTATGTTGAAATAGTCTTCAGAGTACACTTCCAGTCAGAAATAGCATTTTAATTTGCTTTGTTGAAATCTGGTTCTTCATATTAAGATGAATGCATATGTTCATGCATAATGTTCCAATGATCGTTTCTTTCTGAACATGTGAGACTTTGTTTTTAGTTTGTATTTCGCTAGTACAAACCACCTAGGAAAAAAATTTGAAAGTCCATTCTCGTCTTAAGGAGCAGATCTACTGATCAGAGCTGGGACCAGGCTAGGGAAGCTATATGTAGCTTTACATTTTTCCCTTGGGTCTTACGTATGTATGGCTTCATTTGCCTTGATGATTTTTTTTATATATAATTAGAAAAAAAATTTTTTTAATTTATTTCTGAGAGAGAGAGTGCATGAGCAGGGGAGGGGCACAGAGAGGGGGAGACACAGAATCTGAAGCAGGCTCCAGACTCCGAGCTAGCTGTCAGCACAAGCCCTACGCGGGGCTCGAACCCACGAACCGTGAGATCATGACCTGAGCCGAAGTCAGACACTTAACCGACTGAGCCACCTAGGCGCCCTGATGCATATTTTTTAAACTAATAATAGTCTTTATTCCAATAAGGACAAAGTATTCTAAAGCAACTGCTTTCAGTCGCCAGAGTTTCTAACATTCTTTGAAATATGAAAGTAATCAAGTATTCATTATTTATATCAACTCCCCAGCTTCCTCACAGAGGGAGTTGATAGAATTTGAGAGAGTTTAACTTACAGCAATTAACGGCTCAGAGCCTGGAGCCTGTTTCAGTCTGTGACTCCCTCTCTCTCTGTCCCTCCCCTGCTCATGCTGTCTGTCTCTCTCCTAGAAATAAATAAAACATTAAAAAAAAAATTAAAAAAAAAAAAAACTTACAGCAATTAATAGTTTGATTAGGATGTGCTCTCTGGTTATGTAAGATTGACTTGGTTTGTAGACAGTTGTGTACCTGCTCTTCCTTGTTGCAGCACGTTAATGCAACCCTGGACCTGATCGAGGGCAGCATGACTGTCTGTACGACAAAGAAGACTTTTGATCCGTATATCATCATTAGGGCCAGAGACCTAATAAAACTTCTAGCAAGGAGTGTTTCATTTGAACAGGTAAATGTAGAATTACAAAACCTTTGTTTTATTTGTGTTAACATTAGACAACATATAACACTGCATCCTTCCCTCTTCAGAGTTTTCATTTTTCGGCTCAGATTTCCTTAGCCTGAGCCTTGAAAACGAATGTATTTGTAAAGAATACCAATGGAGTGTTTTCTTCCTTTTCCCAAAGGCAGTACGAATTCTTCAGGATGATGTTGCATGTGACATCATTAAAATAGGTTCTTTAGTAAGAAATAAAGAAAGATTTGTAAAAAGAAGACAGCGTCTTATTGGTCCCAAAGGATCTACATTGAAGGTACTTTTTAATCGGTGGAAAATTTCAGTGTCTTCCTTTGTCATTAGTTTTTCAGTGCACTGAATTTCAACTTACTGTTCTTTTGATAACAGGCTTTGGAACTCTTAACAAACTGTTACATTATGGTTCAGGGAAACACAGTTTCAGCCATTGGACCTTTTAGTGGCTTAAAAGAGGTGAGAGCTATTTACTATCTTTTAGGAAAGAACAAATTAAGTAATTCGGTTAAAATAGTTCTTTGGATAACAGTTATAACAGTTTTTTTTTTTTTTTAGAATGTGCTTTGTTTGAGTTCCCATTAGTAAACACTTTGTGCTTCATGTTATTTGAGGTAATCATCACTCTTAGATCCTAACATATTATGGCCAATCTTCAGCAACTAAAGAGGTATCCATTTCTGAATTAGAAGGTCTACAGGTCATCACTCTTCTGACTACAAATTTTAAATGGGTATTTAAGATGTTAGTCTGTAGCACACATGGGAGATGTGTAGTTATATGTGCTCAAATGATTGGACAGTTGAACAGATGTCGTTACTTGTAGTAACCTGTAGAAGCCAGTAGAGGTCGGATTCTAAAAACTTCTTTTCCTTTAAAATATATTTTCTTGTATTTGAATTTTAGTGTAATGTTTATTTAATGTATTGATGAACTTTTATTTAAAATCTAGATATATTATTTAATTTTTGCAGCAGAGCTGTAAAATTTTATTTCCATATTATTTCTGTATTACAAATGAGAAAGCTGGAATAGGACAGTTAGGTGACTTTCCCTAATACAGGGGAGTTCCCTTTATTTGAGCCCACATTTTCTGACTCTGAATCTAGCCGCCTTCTCCCTAAATTACACAGTTCCAAAATGTTGTTGTATTCGTTCTGTATGTTACATTTTAGCTGTAAGTTGAGACATTTCATTGTGTCTAAGAGAGTTTTACTGTTAAGAAAAATCTAGAAGTCACTCAGAGCAGCTGAAGGACCACCTGTATTCAGTTTGGTAGCCGTCGTCTACTCCTTAGGACATGTTGCAGTATATTAATCCCTTTCCACTTAGTTCATTAAAAACTTTGTAAGTGACTAATTCATTTTTCTTTGCAAATTTCAGGTTCGAAAAGTAGTCCTAGATACTATGAAGAATATTCATCCAATTTATAACATTAAAGTGAGTGTTAATTATATATCACTATAACAGTGGTTGTCAAACTTCTTTTAGCTACAGAAACCTTTCTTGAAATTAAATCTTTAATGGAAGCCTAATGCACAAAACAGATAAATAGAACTATTTGGGGTAAATTAGAGGTAGAGTTCAGCCTGCTCACCTCTAACCAGTCATATAGTTACACTTTTGGAGGCTTAGGTCTATGTCATACAGTCTGGAAACTATTGCAGGGGATACTCTAATGTACGACATAGTTCTAATATGACGGAAATGAGCTTCACGGAAATGGTCATAGATGATAAAAATCAAGTTTTCTTGGGTTATTGGCTTATTACTGTATTAAAAGATGTGATCTTTCAGTATCCTGCCTTTCTGTTAAACAGAGTCTGGAATATTTCAGAATGCATTAAAACTTTTTTTTTTTCCCTTAATGCTCAAATTACCAACTCTTTAAGAGAGATCTGTTACATTCCTGTGTCCACAGGATTCATGATGGTACTTGGAAATTTAATCATGCTGTAATGGGCTATGAGGGTTATTTATTAAGCAGTCCACAAATTTGATGAAATTAAGAAGCACCCTTAGGGGTTCCTGGGTGGCTTGGTTGGTTAAGCATACAACTTCGGCTCGGGTCTTGATCTCAAGGTTAGTGGGTTTGAGTCCCACACCGGGCTCAGTGCTGACAGCTCAGAGCCTGGAGCCTGCTTCACATTCTGTCTCCCTCTCTCTGCCCCTCCCCTTCTCATCCTGTGTCTACCAAAAATAAACAAACATTAAAAAAATTAAAAATACATATTTAAGAAGTCACTCTTAAATTGATGTCAAAGAGTTACTTTGGGGCATTAAAAATAAAGAGAGCTAGTTTTGTATCTGATGCCTGGTTTGCATCCTTGGATGTTCCGATGTGTGTGCAGAAGTCAAATGGCATGGGAGACATTTTAGAGTATCAGTTTTATCTGATCATGAGGAAGTTTACTTTTGTCTTTTCTGATAATTAAAGTAACTACCAACAGCTTCCTGCTTTCAGCATACAACTCTCCCTGCTACTATTAAAATTTATTCATTTTTGAGGGAGAAAGTGTAAGGGAGGGAGGGGCAGAAGGAGGGAGACAGAGGATTTGAAGCAGGCTCTGCGCTGACAGCAATGAGCCCGGTGCAGGGCTCAAACTGTGAGATCATGACCTGAGCTGAAGTTGGACACTCAACCAACTGAACCACCCAGGTGCCCCTAAAGCTTTTTTAATTTTTTAAAAAAATGTTTCTGCATTTCTTAATCTAAATTTTTAATGGTTTTCTGAAGCTTAGTTGTAGATTACTTATTTTTTTATGGAATTGGTTTGCTCCTACTGTGGTGGTTAAGAACTACTCCTTTTAATCTTGTTATTTTTAGGAACAGTATTTATAATGTGTTATTTTGACAAATGTATGGCTTATAAAATTAAAAATTCTTACCTTGTTCATATATTGCCATGACTAAAGACCTTAATGATTAAACGGGAGTTGGCAAAAGATTCTGAATTAAGGTCACAAAGTTGGGAAAGATTTTTGCCACAGTTCAAGCACAAAAATGTGAATAAACGCAAGGAACCAAAGAAGAAAACTGTCAAGAAAGAGTACACACCATTCCCGCCACCACAGCCAGAAAGTCAGGTCAGTGTTAAATGTTTCATTTCTTCACATGAGGGGGAAGCCATTTTAATCTATCTTGTCAGAACCTTCATGGAGAGTAATTGAGGTGGACTTTGTTTCTGTGAGTGTGTATGTGTTTGGGTGTGTATAGGTATAAGTGTGAATAGGCTTATTGTGAGCTAAGTGCGTGGGGTGGGGTGGGCCTTCACAGTATGAGTGTAAACTACGTCTCAGTGGTTGGTGTCCGTTGTGCCCCTGCAGCCATGCCAGCTCCTGCACCTCCGTGGATACAAAACCTTAGTGGTTTGACCCTTCCCGCTCTCACTCTGCTTTAGCACCTTTCCTCTGACCATGTGCTATATGACTGCTCAGTTTTGAAGTCTTCAATGATAACACCCGTCCTTTTTCTAAATTGTGAATGCCTCTCATTTTATTAGAGTTTTCTGGCTTCATTTTTTCCCCACATTTCCTTTTCTCTCTTGCCCATCACTATTTCCTTCATGCTGCCTTTTCCTTCTATCATAGCTGTCCAGCAAAACTCTCAAGCTTGATCATTCCTAAAATTTGTTCTCTTTCCCATAATGTGGCTACTGAAGATAGCTGGAAAAAGTCTTCTCCTTGAACTCTGTCCACTATAAATTCACATTTCCAGCCTCAGATAGGCCCTCACTGTTGTCCGATAGTTCTGTGCATCCTCTTAATTCTTGAAGCACCCCTCCCACTCCTAGCTGGTGACCCTGCATTTTAGTTTATGGAAATATTTAAGACCATCAGGTGAGAACTCCTTCAACTTCCTTTTTTCATATATATGTATTATATAATATGTATTACATATAATATATATTATATATATATTAACATATACAATAATATATATAATATATTTTCCCCCTCCCCCCATCTGCACCCAGTCCTTTCTTTACCTGTTCTTTGAATTCTGTCTTCACCTGTCTCCTAAGGGATCTTACTTCATGATTCCCTCTCTTGGTTGTAACTTAGTCTTTCCTTTCTATTAGTTCTTTGTTCTCAGCATGTAGACACATACCTTTCTGTGTTAAAACAGCCTGCTGTATATCCCGTGAACAGATCACCTCCTTTCCTATCCCTGTGCTTTTTGCATGTATTTCCTTCAGCTTAGAGTACATCCTCTTTTCATGTGACTGCCTTTATGAATTAATCAGATTTTTTATTTCATTGTCTTTACCTCAAGGACATTGTGCCTTTCTTAGGGAATGATTTCTCATCTACCTTATTTCTCATGTAATTTTAAATACTGCCTTCAACAGATTGATAAAGAATTGGCTAGTGGTGAATACTTTCTCAAGGCAAGTCAAAAGAAGCGGCAGAAAATGGAAGCCATAAAGGTAAGACTCTGTCTACCTCACAACAGTGATAGCACAGTTCATAGAAACTTGAATTCCTACTTAACTATAAATTATTTTTTCTAACGTATTTTTAATTAATAATGCAGGCTAAACAAGCAGAAGCTCTCAGTAAGAGGCAGGAAGAAAGAAACAAAGCTTTTATTCCACCTAAAGAAAAACCAGTTGTGAAACCAAAGCAAGGTAAATGCTTGTTTTCTAATTCTTGGTATGATATGAAAGTCTGTTATCTGAAAAGTAAACCCGTAGTGAATTTGCCTGACTCTCTGAGTGTTAGGTAAAGAAATCACCATATCTTTCATCAGTTCTCTTGCTATTTCATTAATCATTAATCCTAGGGACAGGAGACTAATTTATTACCAGCTAATGCCTATTTCAGAGTGTCCCAGATTGTCTGTCTTCTCCTGACCTCTGATTGTGCTGCAGAAGGGACTCTTTGTTGTGAAAGCTCTAAAGCAGGGCAGTGAATCCTCTGTAGAGATAAAAGTAACAAAAGCAATGAGGTCCCCACGCTCTGTTCTCATGCCTCTCAGAAAGAGCTTATCAGAAGTTATGGTTTTCTTCTCTTATGTGTTCTGTGGCATAAAGTTTGATTCCTATATTATTAACGATGGATTTCTGACCACCTTGGGCTAACGGACACCATCAAAGTAGTAGGAAGGTCTTAGGGGCTGTTAAAAAAGACACTCAGTGAAAACAGTGTGTTAAAAGTCTTTTCTTCTCCATTTCTAGTCTCATTTGATCCACCCTGTCCTCTTCTGTGTTTTCTTTCCCACTAGTAACACCTATACTCTACCGGTAGTAATTTTCCAAAGTAGCCAGTGGCTCAGTGAGGGGAGGGAAGTCACTGACAAGACCAGACGTGACATTACTATTTTAGTTTCCTATATTACATCAATGTTGATAGGCTTAAAAATACTGTATTCTTCTATGTAGATCATTGGTTATGTAAAAGTTAAAAATGTCGTAAGTATTATAATCTGCAGTCTGTTCAGCCTGTGAGTTTTCTGCTTTGAAGGCTGTTCAGTAGCATTTTTTTTCTCCTCCTTTCCCTTTGTTGTTCAGGCTTTTGGCATGGATTAGATGGTTGGATTCTGTTAGGAGGATCTCCAGATATGCTCAGATTATGGTCTTTATTACCAAAGTCTTGTTAAATGAAATACTGTTAGTCACTCATTGAACTAATATTTGGAAAACTTTATTTTTGAGTTTTTATGTGTGGTATTAGATGAAATAGATTTGACCTAAAGCTTCATGATTAGTTGACTAAAATTATTGAAACTGGAAGGGATACGTGTTTCTTGAAATGTAATTTTAAATTATTTTAATATGCAGAATGGAAAATTGGCATATTAATGAGTACTCTAAAGTTCCAAAATATGGAAAAGAATATAAGTAAAAATCCAATTTCAAGTACAGTTTAAGGGAAAAAATGAAGTTTTAATATTGTTGATTTCAGTGATTCATTCAAATAGCTAAACTGTAATGCCATTTTCATGTGTACCTTCATTACTGTATTTATAAAGTAATTTATGATTTTTTTCTCTTGAAGAAATGTTCAATGTTCCTTTAGGCAGGTGCTTTATATTTTACAACATGACCTTTCACTTAGTACAGTATACTCTGAAGTTATGTGCCAAATACATATTCTTTATGTTTTATTTGGTAAAACATAAAGAGTTACATATGTTTTTAATTTGTCTAGCTTCTACTGAAAATAAAATTGATGTGGCCGCCATCAAGGAAAAGGTTAAGAAAGCAAAGAATAAGAAACTGGGAGCTCTTTCAGCTGAAGAAGTTAAGCTTAAAATGGAAGCAGATGAAAAAAAGAAGAAGAAAAAAAAGTAACACTAAAATAACCCCCTGAACTAGAACTCATTAAGCTATCTCCTTTTGTAAAGGATTTTGAGATACGAAGGTGTTCGTAGCCTTATGTGTGAGAAGAATACTCTGATCACATTTTTCTAGTTTGTGTCATTCTTCAAAGCAGTGTTTATATAAACAGCTGGGTTTTTTTTTTAATGAATTATTGTATTCTCTGTGTGTTTTTTTAATTTTAGTGCTGCAAAGCGGTATGTATGTCCTTGTATTCATTGCACCTGATCTGTTTTGGCATGTTTTGCCTAAGCATATTAGCTGTAAGTAATTTTTTAGGTTGTTTATATAAAGATCTTTGGAATGTGGCTATTGTAATTACCCGTCAAATCCAGTGTTTGCTGCCACTGGTTAGTCTTTAAATATAATCATGTCCTACAACTTGGTTTTGAGGGAAACAAATGCAGATTTTGCAGTGCTCTCTCTAATGATAATGAGTAAACATTTAGGCTTCTTTTTATAATCTCACTTTATATTATGTTTAAGATTAAACAACCCATAAGCAGAAAGAAAAAGCAAGGCCTTTTAAATCCCTTAATTACTTTTCTGAGTCTGGGAAAATGGGAAACCAAAGACCTCAAATTGCAAGGGAGTGGGAGGAAAGCAGATGTTTCGCATGGAAGCAGCATGCAGCAAGTTCCGTAGAAATGTTTTTACTAATGAGGGCCAGTAGAGTTGTTTAGAGTCACCTAAATCTAGCACATTCATCTTGTAGCTTTAGAAGCTAAGACACACGGGCTGAGTTACTTACTGAAAGTCATAGCTGTGGCAGCCTGAAAACAATTCTTATTCATAGAAAAGTGGGAAGTAAAAATGAGTTTATTCTAGAATTAGGAAGTTGAAGCTTTTTCTTTTGATTAAGGGTGTATTGCAACAACATTTTTTTCTGAAATGTTTTTAAATTAGAAATAAGAAATACAAGGGTCATTTTTTTTAAAGCCATATATGAATGAGTTGGGGTGGCTTTCTTTTTGATTATTTTAGATTAAAAGAGTTGAGGGTATCTGTGCTTGACCCAAATGGTCGTTAGGATACCCAGTATTAGGATTGGTGGGCTGACAGTGAGAAAGAGAGATAAGTTTTTGTTGCGTACAGATATTGGCCAGTCAGGATACACAATAGAGTAGTAACCTGTGAAACAAACATAAAATGTTCTCTTAAATGTTGTTTCTCATAATGCAGTAATATAATTCACGTCGATCTTAATGGAACAATTAAAGATTTGTATACATACGTGTGACTTTGTCTCGTTGTGGGTTAACTGTGAAGTCAGAAGAAAGAAAAACATATGCACTTTTAAATTTTATTTTAAAAAGCCAAGTCGCTATTTATAACCATTAACTATTGCTTTGGCTTTATTGCAGTGTTTCTCAAACATTAAGATTTTTTTGTACTGTACTAATTTGACATTTTTAAGTTGACCTTATACATAAACTTTTTATATACTACTTACTATAAGTGGAAAATCATTTTACATATCACAGCTAGCAGATAATAAATACAATTAAAGTAAAATTAAACCATTAGAAATTGAAGAATTCATATTAGTAACAGTTCGTGTGAGCAGTGTATTAAAATATTTTTCTAGAAATGTGTTCCTCCCTGAGAAGAATGATACTATTTATGAAAGTAATAAAGGGACAATGACCTCTCTGTCAGCTGTTCCAATACGTCATTAAATTGTCAATAGGGATTTGGCTCTCATGTCATAATTATTCCTCTCCTTTTACTGAGCTTTATTCAGATTTTGACATTCAGAGCACTAGGTAGAAAATTCTACATCTGCCTTAGCCTTCTTGATACTTATTTTTATTAAATAGAGAACCTTTCTACACTAGTACAAGTGCTAGCTGCTGTTGAATTCTTGGGAGTCTGGCAGGTGCTTCTGGGTACTTGTGAGCATCCATGCTTGGGCTCGGTCCGGTGACGTACCAGGAAGCTGCCACTGCTCTAACTTTTTTGGCAGTGAATACCGTGAAATCAAGGATGTGCTGTGCTAGTTACATTTTTCTTACATATACATTTCTTAAACATTAAATATTCAACGCTTGAATATTGGGACAAATGTACATTCATGCACTAGCTAAAATCATCCCATGTACCACTGGTATACCCAACACATTATGTAATACCATCCTGATTTGGCCTTCTTGGGTATTTATTGAACTTGCCAACAGTACCTAAAGGAATTTTTAGACTAGACTAGGACTAGAAAGGAATTTTTCCTCCAATATTTGTCATAATTTGTCAAAGATGGAATCTGTTAAATAAAACCTTTTATTTTTTAATTTCTTTTAATGTTCATTTTTTTTTTTTTTTGAGAGCGAGCAAGTGGGTTAGAGGCAGAGAGAGAATGAGACACAGAATCTGAAGCAGGCTCCAGGCTCTGAGCTGTCAGCACAGAGCCTGATGCAGGGCCCAGACCTACAAACCTCAAGATCATGATCTGAGCTGAAGTTAGACGCTCAGACTGAGCCACCCAGGCACCCCTGTTAAATAGAAGCTTTTATCCTCTAACCCTTACCTTCATGCAAATTAGCATGTTTTCCCTTTATTTTTATTGGACCACAGCCTTAATTTTCTGAATTTTTAGAGGCCATTTCAAGATACATCCAAGATGAGAAGCTAAAAATCTAAAAGGAACTTTTCTTGTCATTGTGGAGCTGTTGTTAACTAATTATCTAGATTTTTAAAGAGAAAGAATGATTTTTTTAAGGAAGCATACATCCAGATTAGTAGTGCTTATTTGCCAGCCAGTCTAGGGTATAAATGAATTATATATATGAATTAAATATATGAATTAGGCATAATTCCTACTTGTTTGGAATTTAGAGTCCAGTGAGAAAGATAGCAAACCAGTGGCAACAATTAAATTACTTCTTAAATAATTTTAAATAATTGTCTCAGTTTTCATAACAGATTTCAAAGAAATATCATGAGAATTGTTCATGAGTATAAAAAGTCACAAAGTTTGGACATAAAGAAAACACCAAGAGTAAACTCAACAGTTGGGAGTTGAGTTTGGGAGGATGAATTTGTGGATATTAGGTAATATTTAATGAGTGCTACTGTGTGCTAGGCTCTTGTTCTAAATATATTTTCTTTTCTCATTGATTGTTTCACCAAACCTGTGATGAGTTACCACCATCTACATTTTATTGTTCTGTTCAGACAGTTGCCCAAGGTCACAGTGGTGGAACTGGAAATTGAACTTGGACATATTATTTTTAAAATGCGTGGTTCTAGGGGTGCCTGGGTGGCTTAGTCGGTTAAGCGTCCGACTTTCGCTTAGGTCATGATCTCGCAGTTCATGGGTTCGAGCCCCGAGTCGGGCTCTGTGCTGACTGCCAGCTCAGAGCCTGGAGCCTATTTCAGAATCTGTATCTCCCTCTCTCTCTGACCCTCCCCTGCTCACGCTGTCTCTCTCTCTCTCCTAGAAATAAAAATATTTAAAATAATTAAATAAATAAAAATAAAATAAAATAACATGCATGGTTCTAGGGCACCTGGGTGGCTCAAGTCGATTAAGTGTCTGACTCTTCGGCTCAGATCATGATCTCATGGTTCATGAGTTCAGGCCCCGCATCAGACTCTGTTCTTGCAGCACAGAGCCTGCTTAGGATTCTGTCTCCCTCTCTCTCTGCCCCCCTGCTTGCTCTCTCTCTCCCTCTCAAAATAAATAAAAATAAACTTAAAATGTGTGGTTCTAACTCCTATGTTATACTGCCTAACTTGGAAGAAAATAATATGCTTTGTAGTGTTATGGCAACACAAAAGGAAGTATCAGTTAATACCCTGATACCCTCAGAAGAAGTTCATCGCATAGAGGCTGCACTTTACTGAGTTCTCTTAACAAAACTGCTGTGAATGAAATGAAAGATGGTCGAACTAGGAGAGAAATGACTGGCTCTGAAAGCTGATAGAAAAAGTGATGCTGTACCGGAAGTGAAGTTGACAACTCAGTGTTGACAAATCATGAGTTTTTTTGATCTTGCTGAAATTCAGCAAATCTTGGGTCTACAGTTTCTATCTTCCTAGTCACTTTTTGTGGTAATGATTAGAGCTACAGAAAGAGGATATTCTCTGCTTCCTTAAATTTATCTTAAATATATGTGCATTCCTAGGACAGTAAGCCATTGGTTTGATTGCTGCCTAATGCCACCTTCCCTGAAAATAGCTATTAGAGAAAGCAAACATTTGCATTCTTAGCTCTGTAGAAAGTTCTAATAGTTTCAAACACATTGTATTATTGGCAGAGTTTTCCTTTTACTCACTGCAGAGATTATCCAAACACTGGTCATCATTGGGGCAGTCACTGCAGGTGGACCCTTCTGTGTACGGCCTACTTCTGTACTGTCTATAAAGGAGAAAACAACTGTCCATTAGGAGACATGGGTTTTTGTTGTCATCGCAATGAAAATTACCGCGCATCTTTTACTAAATCTGTAGGAAGGAAGTCCAGGGATTCAGGGTTGGTAAGGGAAGTGGAGAGGGAAGCACAAGTAGAAGCCTATTAATATTTGCAGAGTTCCCTCCACGTGGCTGTGTCTTCGCCTACATCATTTAATTCTTAAGACAGTTCTGGAAGTTTGTTTTATTTGACACAAAAGGAAACTAAAGTTCTAAGAAATCACAATGCACACATACCAGAGTCAAAATCAATCCTAAGGCAACCCTAGTCTGACTCCAGGGCACCACCATCCAAAACACTGTCCGTCCTAACGTATCATGACCCACATTTGCTCTTCTCAGTTTAGCAAGCCTCCATAGTCCATGGTAGAACAATATGTGCTTCCCTGTTAGTATTAAATAAGCTCTAGAAAGAAGTTTAATAATCAGTAACTTTAAAATAATGATAGATTAAAACCATATTTTGAGTTATCTGCAAGTGGAATGTCATATAAAAATATCTGATATTTACAAAGATAGAAGTAGTACTAAAAAAGTCACACGCACTGCTGCTGATACAACTGAAGTGTTGTCTTCATAATGAAATATTTTTTTAATGTTTATTTATTTTTTTGAGAGAGCTCAAGCAGGGGAGGGGCAGAGAGAGAGGGAGACAATCCAAAGCAGGCTCCAGGCTCTGGGCTAATAGCTCAGAGGACTTGAACCCACGAACTGTGAAATCATGACCGGAGCTGAAGTTGGACTCTTAACCAACTGAGCCACCTGGGCACCCCAAAATATTTTTAATAGAGGTTAGTGAAAATAAACATGTAACTGTTTTCTAATCCAAGTTCATGGACTCAACTCCCCTCCCCTAATACTATACCTTTACCTCCAAAGTTAAGAAACTTTGGTTAAGAACCAAAGTTAAGGACACATTACTTTTATGAACACCTCATTTCCAACCCAACATATGTGTTCTAATCTTACTTGTGTTCTAATCTTACTTGGCTCCAAAATAACTTGGGTTGTTTTAGAAACTCCGTTTATCCTCATGTTTGCTTTACACTGTGGAAAACAGTCAAAGGAACATAGTGATTCTGATAACTGTCCAAAGTGCACATGAATCTGGGGATAGCTTTCATTGTTAAAAAGCACCATACTTATTGAGAGGTCCAGTTCTAGAATGTTTTTAGTAAGATCACTTATGCTATTTCATTCTTTGTTGAACTGGGAAAACTATATAGAAGAGGGGAAATTTACTACTTCAAAAACAGGCTAAAAACAAAAGGCAGTTGTGAATTCTAGGGAAATGGCACAATTCGTCTTGAGAGTAACATGGTACTGGAAAGGCCTGGGTTTTTTTTGGAGGGGAACAATGGAGACTAAGGGCCCTAACATATTCTGTCCATAAAGAAGCAGGAAGTTATAGTGTTCCCCCTGGTAGCTTGAGAGAGAAAGGATTGATGCCCCAGGAGTGAGGAAAAGACATTTTTTTTTAAGTAACCTCTTTGCCCAACATGGGACTCAAACTGAGGACCCTGAGTCATATGCTGTACTGACAGCAGCCAGGCCCCCCGAGAAGACAGATCTTTAAGGAAAAGATAAATACGAGTACAGGTTCTCAAAGCAGGGGATATTAATACTGTACTGATAGTCAAGGTTGTCCTTTCCTCTTCCATGCTGTAATCCATTCTCCCACTAATCAAATCACAAGGTAGCCTTGCTCAGAGGGGCCCGGGGGCTTGAAGGGAGAGTTCTCTCCGTGAAAAATGCAGATCAGAATGACCTGAAGCAGCCAGGAGGAAGGGTCAAAACTGTCCTGGGCAATGAATGACTCCAGAGCTTGAGCTAAGGTGACTGGAGAATTAAGCATCCTGCACCCAGCTCAGAAAATCTCAGAAATATGGCAAGGATACTGGACGTTAGAACTATGTGGGAAAAGATGCCTATGACTTTTCATACATGAAAGGAGGAAAACAAGCTCAGAAGGCAGAAGAAAATGAGGACATCCTTAACTGGTCTCTGTGTTCCTCCGTTATGCCCGTCAATCCATTGCCCACATCTCATTTAGAATGATCTCCAAGTTTAAGGCAGGTCTTGTCACTCCTTGTTGAAAAGGTTTGGATGATTCCTCTTGAGATGTGAATAAAGTTAAATTTGCTGTGGCCTGTACCGCCCTGCAGGGCTGAGCTGCCTCCTTCCCCCCGTTTCATCCGATTCAGTGGTGCAAGCACCCTGACCTGTCTGTTCTTGCATCCTTTCCACAGAAGCTTTGCAGATGTTTTCTGCAGCAGACATCTGTTCCCGAAGTTCTTCACAAGTCTGGTCCCTTTCTATTCTTCATGTCTGTGCTTAAATACATTATTTTATCCAACAGAGGGTCCTGCCTCTTGATAGTGTCAACTACAGTATCATTTGTATTTCCCTCATTACTCCTATCATAATGCAGTTATTTTATTTGTATTTTTATTGTCTATCTGCCCCATAGATATTCCATAGAAACAGAAATTCCATAAAAGCAGGGACTGTGGCTGGTTCTCCTTTGCATCTCAGTAAACAAATATTTGTTGGATAATTGAGCATATGAATCCATTTATTTGTATGAAAAAATAAATGTTACTCTATAGAAGCATTAAAACTGGTTATAAGCTTTACAGCTTTTTATTGTTTATAACTCTAAAAGGCAAGTAGATTCGGGCTAAACCAGGAGAATTTCCAGTTGTACCTCCTTATTATAACAACAATAATAACTATGAATGCCTCGCAAATAATCACCATTGCCAGGTATTACATATAGTTAGTGTTTCACATAGCTTTCTCATGTAATTTTTATAGCTACTTGATAAGTAGCTGGTGCTATTATATCTCAATTTTTTTACAGAGGAAACAGATTCAGAGAGGTTAAGCAACTTGTCCAAGGTCAAGTGAACCAAGGTAGTGGGTCTCAAGACCTTGTATCCTAACCATTAAGCTATATAAATGACATGAAGAGTTACCACTGATTGATTTAATGGCTTTAGCTAGTTGTTCCTAGGTTTTCTCTGTTTTCTGATTTAGGCATTTTTAAGTCAAAGCTATTCTCTTCTTTTTTTTTTTTTTTTTTTTTTAATGTTTATTTCTAGGAGAGAGAGACAGCATGAGCAGGGGAGGGTCAGAGAGAGAGGGAGTCACAGACTCTGAAACAGGCTCCAGGCTCTGAGCTGGCAGTCAGCACAGAGCTCGACGCGGGGCTCGAACCCACGAACCGCGAGATCATGACCTAAGCGAAAGTCGGACACTTAACCGACTAAGCCACCCAGGCGCCCCAAAGCTATTCTCTTCTGAGTGACACCTGATTTTAGTCCTTTCACCCCACCCACACTCGATCAGACTATCGAGTGTTTCTTCAGAACATTACTTAAGGGAAAGAAAGAGAGGCTTCCTCTAGCAAGTCTTCTAGAATCCCAAAGATTGGTAAAATCCAAACACAATTAAGGGCAACAAATTAAAGAAAAAGACTGTTATATATACGGCAACGAGTTAAAAGCTTTAAAATATAAACTACCATAAATCATTAAGAAAATCACTACAGTAGAAAAATGAGATCATATGATTCACAAAAGAAGGAATATAAATAGGTGATTGGGTGAAAATTTATAGTCACTAGTGGTCAAAGAGATGCAAGAGAAAAAATAACATTTTCTTTCAAATTAGAAAATACTAAAAAATTATAGTATCCAGTACCAATGAAGAAGTATAAATTGATATGCTTTAAAAAACATAAAGATGTTCACACCTTTTATTTAGAATACTATTTCTAGAAACTGTAGGGAAATAGATGTGACCAAAGACTTATATGCAAGGTTGTTCATCCCATATTAAAAGAAGATGCAGAGAACAATCTAAATTCTTCGATAGGATGAGCTGTTATGTGACCATCTAGAGCACAGACTCAGAAGCCAGAGAGCCCAGGTCACAATCCAGCTATGACATAGTGTCACCAACTGTGGAACCTGGGCAGGCTACTCACACCATCAGTGTCTCCATTTTCTTATCTGCCAAACATGGGTTGTTCTAGGATCCAGCTCAAGACTTTTCATGAAAATTGAGTAAGTTCATATATATAAAGCACTTAGAAAAGTCCTTAACATATGGTAAATATTTTGTAAGTATTACTCTCATTTTTTATGGTGAAAAAATTTATATTTAGATTCAACCAGCTGGATTCAGTTTAGATGATCCCAGTTTTTTGGGAACATCCAAAGCATCATAGTCAGCAGCCAGTCAAACATATGCCTTCCCTCCATCAGGCCTGGTCAGGATGTTGACCTTGGCCACGTCAGTGTCATAGAGCCTCTTCACAGCCTGTCTGATCTGGTGCTTGGTGGCACCACAGTGAACACAAGTGTGTTGTCTTATACTTCCTTTGTGGCCGACTTGGCAGTTGGTGTAACTTGATGACGACATAGTGGTCAAGCTTGTTTCTCCTGGGAGGATTCTTTCAAAGATATTTGGTCTGCATTTGGAGACTCAGTGTCTTGGGTCATTGGAAGGAAGCTGACATGTGGATCTTCTTTTTTTTGTGATTGTGAATGTCTTTCAGCACCATTTGCTTGGCCTTCAAAGCCTTTGCTTTGGCTTTCCATCTTCATTAAAGAGTACTCTCATTAATTGTATAATTATTGATATCATGTTTAAAAATTTGATGATGTGGAAAATGCTCATGGTATAATTTTAAAAGAAGTAGAAAATGTTCATTTTCAGTATGATATTCATTTTCTAAAGAATGTGTATGATGCATAAGCATACATATCTATAAGTTTAAAGAAAGGTGGGGGGCATATCATAGGTCTACCCTGTTTTCCAAAGGGAGAAAAACTGCATCCATTTCAAAAGCAAAACTTTCAGAAGTAAATGAAATAAATTACATAAATTGAGAAATTTAATTCTCAAAAATTTATTGTTTTGAAAATTGTAAAACATGCCAAGTTTTTAATAAACCAATAAATATAAAGTAACACCAATCTACCCATTTTGTCGTATTATTACCATTTCCAATTAGTCTATGTCCCTGCAAACATTTCAGTCTGGCCATTCTAAAACTATATGTTGTGGTGTGTCTGTGTGTATTGATTTGCATTTGTAAAGCGTGCACACAGCCACACAAACACACATGTATATTAAAAAAAAAATGTACCAAATGTTAATGGATTAGATCTCTGGGTAGAGGAATTAAGGGTGATGTTAATTTTCTTTTTTACACTTTATTACCCCAATTTTCTGTAATGAAGATTAATACTTCTAAATTTTCTTTTTAGAAAGAGATTGATTTGGGTACTTACCCTGGTCCATAGTTGCATATGTAAAGTGCTCCGTTGGAAATACCAGTGCCATAAACACTGGAACAATACTGTACTGCACAGCCCACTTTGTAACTAGCTGCCCAAACAACCTGAAAGAAAAAAGGATTTGTAACAAGAGAGACGATAAAGTGAACATTTGAGTATGATTAGGCCTTCATAAACGCAGTGAGGTGTGTTCACTTCGTTTAGGTGGAGCAGTTATTACCAAGAACTCTTAGGTCCTGAGGACTCGGTTAGAAACAAGACTTGTAATTATGATTAGGGTCTGATTGTGTGAAATGAACATGTAAATGATACTAAGAAATAAACGTAAATGATACTAAAATGAAATAAAATAGTGCTGGAGTGGGTGCTGATCCTGGGTGCCCAGAGAAGGGGCGCTGGAGGAGGCATTGGAGCCGAGGCCTGCAGGGGGCAGCACTGGGGATGGCCTCACAGGAGTCCTCACCGCGGGAGGAAGAGCCTTCCATAAGGAGAGAACAGGGGCACAGAACCCCGGAGGTGGGGAGGGCTCGGGGGTGAGAGTGGCAGAGAGAAGCTGGCAAAGCCGGGATCCAGTGAGTGGGGAGAGTCATTGGCGTTGAGGAAGGAGGCAGAGGGATAGGTCGCGGGGAATCTCGTAGGCAAGTGAGTACTTTTTCACATGTCAGAAAGATCTCTTGGTTGTTATGAAGTCTGGGCTGAGAAGAGCAAGGGAAGAAAGAGGGAGGGCATTTGGGAGGCTCTTTCCACGGTGCAAGAAAGAGAAGACAGTGACCCACACTTGGGTGGGGGTCGCGGGCTCCTGGGAGTCCATCAGGTACGTGGTTCAGCTCTAGGTACAGCTGAAAGGATTTGCTGTTGCTTTGAGTGTTAAGGAAGAGGGAATATCTGGGTCCTGAGTAACAGTTACTGAGATGGGGGAAGGGAAGGAGGAGGGTAGCTGGGAGCATGGACAGGGGTTCCGTTCAGGTCCTGTTCCCTTTGAGATGCCTATTAAAGTCCAAGGGCAGAGTGACTTTGCTGCTGAATGGAACCGTCTCTAGATTATTATTTAGATCAAGGCTAGAGATATAAATGTGGAAGACACGGGGCTAGATTAGATCATAGGCAAAGATAACAAGTAAATGAGAGCATAGGATAAAGAACAAAAGAAAACCAGCAAGGCAGATAGAAAACGGGTGGTGAGTGGCATAGGAGGAAACCCAAGAACAGAGCCAGCTTCAGGGAGAGGGGCCTGTCACACTGGACTCCATGGGGGTAAGACTCCATAGTTGATTTAGTTCAACATTGTCAGTATTTTCCCACATTTAATGACACTTGTCCCCTGATTTTTGAACAAGGGACTTTACATTTTCATTTTGCACTAGGCCCCACAAATTATATGGCTTGTCTTAACCAAGAGTTTGGTGTCATTGGAGCCTAAGGAAAAAAGTACTTTAAAGAGGTAGTATGTAGATACTAAAGATAAGCCAGCAATTAAATGCACTCCTTTGGGCGTCTGGGTGGCTCAGTCAGTTGAGCATCCGACTTTTGATTTTGGCTCAGGTCATGATCTCAGAGTCATGGGATCGAGCCGTGCATCAGGCTCCGCACTGAGTGTGGAGTCTGCTTGGGATTCTCTCTCCTTCTCCCTATGCCGCTCTCCCCCACTCACACACACATGCTCTCTCATTAAAAAAAAAATTTTAAAAAGTCCTGTTTACAGTGATACCAAATTGCATAATAAATTACCTTTACTCATTTTTTTAAAAGCAATTTTGTGGCAAGAATTGTGCCAAATATGGGAAATACAGAAGTGAATGAGCTGGAGGTAATGTCTGCCTTTGGCAAATGAGGAGAAAAGCTGCCCTCCAGCCTATATGCGAGGGCTTGACCACAGCACAGGGGAGCGGAGGAGGCTAAGGGAGCACACAGCACAGGAGCCTGCGCTGACTTCATGCGGCGGAACTGAACCCCCAGGAGCTGGTCTAAGAGCCAGGAGAGGTCTTCCAGAGGCCACATCTATGCTAACCCAGGATGGAAAGACTCAGTGGAGACTAAGCTGGTGTGGCTGCAGAAAAAGATCAAGTTTACTTTTTAAAAAAATCGGTAATGGGTGATGGGCATTGAGGAGGACACTGGTTGGGATGCTGTATGTAAGCCAATTTGATAATAAATTATATATTTTAAATTTTTTTTTAATTTATTTTTGAGACAGAGAGCCATGAGCATGAGTGAGGAGCAGAGAGAGAGAGAGAGGGAGACACAGAATCCAAAGCGGGTTCCAGGTTCTGAGCTGTCAGCACAGAGCCCTACACAGGGCTGGAGCTCACAAACTGAGATCATGACCTGAGCCAAAGTTGGACACTAAACCAACTGAGCCACCCAGTCGCCCCGACAATGAATTATATTAAAAATAAATAAATAAATCAGTAAATAAATCAGTGAAAGCACCCCTAAGGGAGAGAATCTAGAGGGAGGGGAGATGTGGATCCAAGTCTGTGCTTCCCCAAGGCTGAAAGGTGGGCGGAGGTGCTAGGGAGGCAGGAGAGGAAACATAAGATAGAGCTGTGGCTCTCTGCATTCTGTCCCTCTTTGGTTTGGCAGCTGGGGACTCTATGGGAAGCCAGCTGCTGGCCTCTCCCCGGGGAGGAGCAGTGCTCTCCTTGGCAAGGATGGCTCCCTCCCTGGTCAGAATGGGGCGATTCCCTTCCTGGCTCATACAGGAATCCCCTGCAGGGAACTCTGGGCAAACCCAGTAGCTTCGGCCTCTGTCTCAGTGAGAGCCTAGCTTCATAGCCATTAGTCCTCAGGTTTGATCCTTGCACTTATTATACTTTCTGATCAATTTTTCATTTATTTAAAAAGTTTTAAATTTCTCTTCACTGCATCTCAAAGGAATTTTATCCGGATGCTTTGTTTAAAATACAGGTTTCTGGACCCATCTCAGTCCTGCTGAATGCAAGTCCCTGGAATTGTCCTTGAAATCCATTTTTTTTAATTGAGGTATAATTGACATATGTTATATTAGTTTCAGGTGTGCAACATAATGATTCAATATATTTACATATTGTGAAATGATCACCATAATAAATCTAGTTAACATGAATGGAAAGACAATCACAGGCCCAAAATGGTGTCACTTATGCTGGGCCCTATCACCAAACTGGGGCCTAATATCTAACCTAATTGCACTTTCCGCCTATCCCAGAAATGATCTTAACTGATCAGTCAGGAATTTTCTGGTCAACACCAATAAGCTAACCTGTCACAGGGCCCTGTCCATCTCCCAAAGAAAGATGAGGTAAGCCACCTAATATGATTCTTGTCCCCAAAGGAAGATGACCCTTTGCAAAATAACCCTTTTTTCTGTTTATGACTTTTTGTCCTGCCTTTAAAAATCTTTCCATTTCTGGGACACTTGGGTGGCTCAGTTGGTTGAGCGTCCGACTCTTGGTTTTGGCTCAGGTCATGATCTCCCAGTTTGTGGGATCGAGCCCCATGTTGAGCCCTGCACTGATGCAAGCCTTGGGACTCTCTCTCCCCCTCAACCCAAATAAATAAATACTTTTTTAAAGAAACACCTTTCCCTTTCCATAACCCTTTGGCACTCCTCTCTACTTGCTAGATGGGATGCTACTTGATTCATGAATTAGTTCATAAAACCAACTAGATCTTTAAAATTTACGTGGTTGAACTTTTGTTATTTAATACATCCATCACCATATAGTTACAAATCTTTTTCTTGTGATGAAAACTTTTAAGATTTACTCTCTTAGGAACTCTCAAATATACAATACAGTATTATTAACTATAGTTATATCCCCAGGACTTGGTTATTTTATAACTGTAAGTTTGAACTTTTGACTACATTTACCCATTTTGTCCCCCACCCCAATGACCACCAGTCTTTTTTCTCTTTCTAAGGGTTTGTTTTTTGTTTAGATTCCACATATAAGTAAGACCATATGGTATTTGCTTTTCTTGGCCTGACTTATTTCACTAGCATAATACCCTCTAAGTCCATCCATGTTATTGCAAAAGCAGAATTTCTTCTTCGGGAAAATGTATTACATATATAGGAATATTGCTTATCTCTAAAAGAGAATAAAAATCTATATTTTAACAAGTTTCTTGGGTGATTATTATGCATGCTAATTGGGTGCAATGTTGTCTGTATTCCTTTTACTACCATCGTTGTCAATCATTTTATATTTTTTATCTTTTGGTCTTTGAGCACTTTCTTCAAGAGTTGTTTTATCTCAAGTATTCTGTCTTTGGGCTTCACACACACACACATCTTTAATGCTTTATGCTGTTTCTTTTGCTTTATTGTCTTTTCCTTTTCTTTTCCAGTCTCTTTTCTTCCAAGGGCATGCCATTCATTTTGTTTTAATTGGTGTTTTTTTCCTTTAAAGTCATGTTGTAATTAACACAATAAAATCCATCCATTTTAGGTGTACAGTTCCATGAATTTTGACAAAAACATAGTTGTGTAGCCCTGCCATATTCATGACTTAGAACATTTTCATCACCCCAGAAAGTTCCCTTGTGTTCCTTTGTGGTCAGCTCCTACCCCCACACTCTGACAACCATTAGTCTGTTTCCTGTCTCTCTCCTTTTGCTTTTTCCCGGAATTTTATATAAATGGGATCAGTTTAAATGTGGGGTTTTTTTTTTCATTCTGTCATCTTTCACTGAGCATAAGCATTTGAGATCTACTCATACTATTGGGTTCACTTCTTGATTGCATGGGTACCCCACAGTTTGGTTATCCATTCAAGTTGGTCTCTTGTTAAAAGTTTTATGGGCATTCACAGGGCACCTTGGTGGCTCAGTAGGTTAAGAATCAGACTTTGGCTCAGGTCATGATCTCACTATTCATGGGTTCAAGCCCATGTGATTCAAGCTGTGCCAACAACTCAGATCCTGGAGCCTGCTTCGAATTCTGTGTCTCCCTCTCTCTCTCTCTCTCTCTCTCTCTCTGCACTCTGTCTCTGTCTCTCAAATTAAAAAAATAAAAACATTTAAAAAATTAAAGATTTTAAAAATAAAAAAAAATTATTTATGGACATTCGGATTCTGGGTTCAACTTGTGGGCTCTGGAGCCACTCAGTCTCTATAGATA